TCGCCAAAGTCCGTTGTACAGAAAACGTGTCATGTCGATCATATATTAAAATCAGTCACTGTGAAATGTCGTCCGACGAATAATAATCCATGATCAAAAGTATGGCCAAATATTGATTTTATATATATCGGTATAGTGATGTCACAAAAAAAAAGATTTAGATTCGGAATCCTTTGTCTAGTGATAGATTATTCACCACGATAAAAAGAATTACTGTGGTAAATCCCAATGTTACCCTACATATTGAATTGCTACATAAAATCAGGATACGATGGTAAAATTCCATGTTAATGTTCTCAATATAGTGTACTTTGAGTAAAATCACATATGATCGACAATTGCCCTTGTATTGATTTATGCATGATATTAATATATTGGCTAAATGTTTGTACTATATTAAACCAAAATCAATACACGTATAGGAATCAATCGTCCGTCACGTCGCTAAAATTTATTATTATTATTTATTATTATTATTATTATTATTATTATTTGGTGATCTGCAATTAGGGCTATCGAATAATCAAAAAAAAAAGCTTGAAACAAGGAGTTTCCGTTCAAAAATAACATTATCATCATCACTTGATACATTAATATTTTGAATATAACCATAAATATTTTTCAGTAACCATAATAATAATAGTAAAAGTAATAGCTTCTATTTACTATTATTGCAGATAGTTTCTAAATTGGTACTTGTTACACGAGAGTACGAAGAGATAAAAATTTTTATTTATTTTTGATGATTAATAAAAAACAAAAATAAAAATGTGTGGAATTCTAGCAATTTTACTCACCAACCCTACCATCTCTGCAAGCTTAGAGTTATTTGAAGGTCTACAAATTCTACAACATAGAGGTCAGGTAATAACAAAACATTTTTGATTTAGTAAGTTTGAGTTTCATAAAACATTTTATATAAGAGATTTTTTTTGTGGCAAACCCCGACCGAACAACCAATCATAATCAGTGTCTCAAACCCGAATTCAAAAAAAAAAGATCTTTTATTTTTGAAAAAAATAATGGTTTTGGACACTAATGTGTGGGATACTAAGTCACAACAATTCCATGGTGGGCAAGATTGGAAATTTTTAGATAATTTTGTAGAAGATTTTTCAGTTACTACTAATGCATTAGGTACACCAAAAGAAGCTTTGAAAGCATCAAAAGATTCAGTATGTTACATATATAAATATTTAAATATGTAATTTCCATCATTTTCATTTTCATTTTCATTTTTTCAGTTTTCCGCCTTTCTTTACTTTCTTTATTTCTTGTTAGGTTGATACATGTCATCATTATCCACCTGCTAATCAAGAAC